CAGTGCAGACTTCCCAACTCCCAAGACCTTTTTGGTAGATGATCAGGAGGGGTCCTGCCCTAACAGGACTAGCTCCCTCACCTGAGGCCCTTCGTGTCTTTTTCCTGCATGATTTTTTTTTCTGGAGAAGAGGAGGCTGCGTGGAGACCCCATAGCAACCTGCCAGTATCTGCAGGGGGCCTATAATGATGCTGGGGAGGGACTCTTCATTAGGGACTGTAGTGCCAGGACAAGGGGTAACGGGTTAAAACTTAAACAGGGGAAGTTTAGATTGGATATGAGGAAGAAGTTCTTTACTGTAAGGGTGATAAGGCACCGGAATGTGTTGCCCAGGGAAGCTGTGAATGCTCCATCGCTGGCAGTGTTCAAGGCCTTGGGTGACATGGTTTAGTGTGAGGTGTCACTGCTCATGGCAGGGTGGTTTGAACTAGATGATCTTAAGGTCCTTTCCAACCCCAACTACCCTACAGTTCTATGATATACAAACCATGTCTCTCTAATACTCCAGCAAAGCCCGACCTTGCTTCCGGAGATCATAGGATTTCCTTTCCAAGACCTGCTCATCACAGCAGTATGATATTCCCAGCTGATGTCTGGGAAATCGCAATCTCCCACAAGGACATGGGCTACCGATCCGGAAACATCTCCTAATTGCCTATGAAATAACTTACTGCTGCTTGCATCCTGGTTGGGCTATTGGAAGTAGACACCCCTCTACAACGTCTCCTTTGTTTTCCATTTCCCCTACTCCACAACTGCATCACCTACTAACCATACAGACTGTAGAGTCAAACCTTTCCCTCATGCACAGTGCAACACCTCCACCTCACCTGCCCTCTCTATCCCTCCTAAACAGCCTGTAGGCCTCCCTCCCAGCACTCCAATCGCGCCACTCATTCCGTCAAGTATCAATAATACCGATGATAGTGTAATTCTGGGAGCTAACCAATGCTTCCATTTCATGCTGTTTGCTTCTCACACTGCATGCACTGGTGGACAAGAATTTCAGACACACTCCTGAGCTCTCCATGCTCCCAGGAGACCTGTAAACATTCCCACAGGCATTGCCACCCACTGGCCATACCATGCCAGCCCTTATCTCACCCACTGCACTGCTTTTGGTATCTCCTTCCTCAGTCGACTCTAAAGTTCTCTTCAAGAGTGACATTAAAATAATTTGAGTATGATCACTGACATTTCCTGCATTACATGAGAGCCGCTTTGCAAACTAGATTAACTTCTATCGGAAAAGAAAAAGTAAGAAATCTTCACCAACCTTTGCAATCTTCCAATGAATACAAGAATTGTTTAAACTTTTTTTCAGCTTGCTTGTTAGGTTTACAATCCAGCCTAGCCCACAGATAGGGTTGCCCTAGAGTTTCCAGAGAAAGAAAACCAGCAGTTTACTGAGGTGACCATACCCGCTGAAATCAAGTACATAAAAGACAAGGTATGAATTCTCATTTGCAACAAGAGAAATTATTTTACGGCCAAAGACACTACATAAATTCATACATTCATTAGACTACATGGACCTATGGTTACGGTAACTATTACTGCGTGGTCAAGATCTTCAATGGCAGCTGCATTCACAAAAGCTGTAATCCAGTAAACCTCACAACAAAAGCAAAAGCTACATAAAACAAGGCTTCTACTCAGCATGAGAAAACTCACAAAACCGTTGCATTACCTTTGTAGGTAGTTACGTAACAGCAGGTTCCATCCACCTTTTCAGTAGGAATTGCACTGTATATATCTGCCTCTATCGCCTTTGCAGTTATAGTTTCAGTAGCCAAAACTTTAAACGGCTGAAAAAAAGACAGGTATTTTAAACCCTCATCATGGCTAGATTACTGTCTTTTTTCTCATGTGGATTCTTGCTCCTGACAACTGGACTCTAGAAGCCAAGTCTTACTCATCCTATTCCTGATTTCTAACCCTATCAAAATACACCAGTTTCCTCAAGACATGGCAGCCTGGAAAATGCTCTAATACAGAAGACCAAAGGCAATCTCTTTGCAAACTCTCTCCCCCTTTTCCACACTTGTTTATTATTTAGAGATAATTTTGCCATTTTATGCACTTCAAGTAGTGCATATAAACTAGAAGGGCTCCAGGCTAATGCTGCAGTATTTGGATGTGCCTTCCTGTATGACAATGGCAACAGAAATTCATCCCCATGAGCTGCTCCAAGCTCTCAGTTCGGAACTGGAAGCCAACAGCACCATTTTATGCCATGAAATACAAGGGCCAGTGCAACACAAGGTAGCAAAAGCATCCTGATGTTACACACTTGGTATCAGAGCTGCCAACTAAACAGTCTTCCACTTCCAAGAGCAAAGACACAAGTGATCCAGGCATCTGAAATAAACAGCCACCCACAACTATTCCAAATTTCTAAGCGGGGTTCTGTAACAGCATCACTGTAAACATATCACCAGTCGTGTTTGGATTCAAATGTTCCTGCAAAATCATCTCCCCTTCCTCCTCTCTCCCAGGACACCTATGAGTTGTGAATCTCAAAACAGAACTCTGAATTCATAAAATGAGAACCTTCTACAGGCTTTCTTTGTATCAATGGGCTGTTTTCTATTTTAGAAAACAGATTTGCAATCATCTATGACAATTTTATGAAGATTACATGAAAATCGTTCAGGGTAAGAAGGTAAAATTCCCGTTGGTTTTCTGACCACCACCACCCTTCTTCCCCAGCAAACAGAACCCCCTCTGGAATTCTTGCCTGCAGTTTGAAAAAAGGGAAAACACAGCGTATGCCAGTTCTAGACCTAATCCCCTAATGGTTTCTTCTGCATGAATTAAGAAAATACATAGGGAGACCCTTACATGACCATTACCACGATGGTGTTGCTACTCAGAGTTGAACAACTTAGTTACTGAAGTCTTGGCAATCATTTCAGCTCTTCCGTCCAGAAGTGAAATACTAAAGGGTGAAAGTCACCCACACGGATAAAAGTTCACCATGCAGCTGACAGAAAACAGTAGGTACTGCTCCTAAAACCAGGTAAGAAAGATTGAAGGTCTATGGCTAGAGAGGCGAATCACACCCCAGTCTGTCTTGACACTGCCATTTCCATCTCAGGAAGTCGTAACGTTGATTCGGATCCACTACTTTCCCCTTATTAGATATCCCACGTTTTACAGCCTCAAAGGAATTCTTCCCGCATAACCCTGTTACTGCCCGGATCACAACAAAACAGAAGAGAAAAAAGCGCGTTTATTCCCCACAAGGCTCACAGGCGGGCATGGCGCGACAGTTTTACACAACTCCCAGTCCGTCCACGGTGGAGCAGGCTCGTTCCTTGCCGTGACCATTTCCGACTCTTGCGTGAGCACCTGGATACGCCACCGTCCATTTCGCCAGAGACCTGCAGCCAAACCTCTCACCACTCGGCTGACTCACCCCGTCGGGTGCGCTCCGGTCAGCTCGACCCGGCACCGGACTCGGCCCCGCCGCGGAGACTGGGGCCCCCACCTCCTACCGCCCTCCCAGCCCCGTGCCGCCCCGACCACCTGCCGCTCCCGCTTGGCCGACGGCTCCTCCTTCACCTCCGTCACGAACAAACACGGCACCTTCCGCTGCACCGCACCCCGACGCCTCATGATCCCGGCCCCAACCCACCGCCAGCGCCGAGCCGAGCCGAGCCGAGCCGAACCCAGCCCACACTGCGCCTGCGCCGCGCCCGCGGGGCGCCACGGGAAGTGGAGCCCGTTACTGCCCCCCCCGCCAAGCTCTGCGGCACGGCCGTGGGCGCGGTGGGTGAGCTGGGCTGCCCGTGTCCAGCAGCCCGCAGCCTCGGGTCGGTTCCGCCGCCCCGCCCCGCCCCGCCCGGCCCGGCCGCGGGCCTGGGGCAGCTCCGCTCTCCCCAGCGGCAGTTGCCGCCGGGCCAGGGCCGGCCCGGGAGCCACAGTTGTGCTCGGAGATGGGTCCCGGCGGCCGCGAGGCCGAGGCCGGCCTGAGGCCCCAAGCTGTGGGGACCTCTCCCTCAGGACAGCCGCCTGCTGTCCTTACCCAGGCTCTGCCTCGGCGTACAACCCTTGAGTCTCTGCCGCTTGACTGTGCCTGGACGCCAGGCACTCGCTCACCAAAGCTGCTTTGCCGCTGTGCTCTTCAGCTGCACAGAGGGGAGAACATAAAACGAAAGGCTCGTCGGTCGACACAAGGACACGGACAGAGATCGCTCACTCTTTTCTCTCAGTTTATTGCCAATCGCAGCCGAGCAGGGGCATGAAAAAATAAAAGTCAAATTTCTCAACACCACCTCCTCACCAGTCCCTTCTCCCCTGTTGTCATTGGCCCTGTTGGACACATGGGAAGCTTCCAGCAGCTGCTCCCTGTAGCCCCCAGCTACCACATCTTTGCCACACAAACCCAGGGCAGAATCGGTTCTTCCTGACCAGCCCTGCTTCTGTGCCTCATGTAGGCCCAGCTGCGCAACTACAGAGCCTCTGTGGATAGCCCCTGGGCTATCCAGCCCCTGGGTTGCTTCTGCCCACTGATGGCTCCTTACTCATGGCCCTCATCTGCTTTCCTGAATTCTCCTTCCCCTGTGTGCCCCAGTCAGTCCTGCCTTGGCACACTAATGTCATACAGCACCGCTGTGCTCTGCTGACCTGTCCTGTGAGTCTAGTCACCATGCACTGCTGGGTTGGGTTCTTGTGGAGTTTGTTGGGTTTTTTTACTTTGTGATTTTCTATTTGTTTGTTTTCCCTAAATTCCCCGTTTTAATAAAAAAGTGCTCATAGGTGTTCATTTCCAAGTCACAGATGTCTCTCACTGCTGTGGATTTGACCCCACGAACTGGAGATAACAGCATGCCTTCACTGATTTCCAGGACCAAAATTTAATTTCCGCCCCCCCCCCCCAAATATTTTGTTTGTTCAGAGGCAGCCTGGGACCTGAATGGGAACAGCAGTTTTTGTTAGGGATCCATGTGTCCGTTGCTCTTTCTGCTGTGGCAGATGTGGACATCGTAGAAACAAGAAAAAACAAGGAACGCCAGCAATGTAAGCAGTTAACACCTAGCACCCTACTACATTTTACAGTAAAGAAACACCAGAATGGGAGACTCTGAGAGACGGTCCCGTTTTCCATACTTTACTCTGAAGCAACAAGAGAAAGGAAGATGTTCAAGCTGGACAGGCCACATGGAACCATCGTGCTGATGTCACCAGCAGGAGGAGCCGTTGGCAACCGTGGAAACGGAACACTCTACACCGGACAGCAGCTGCCTCCTTCAGCTCAGGATGCCTGAAGGTACCACATCCTTCCTCGAAGCCTATTGCTTTGTGGAGTTTTGTTTCAAAAAAACCCCAGCAGAGCTAATATTCTCAAGGTCCAGATTTTGAAACAAAGCTACTGATTTTAGGATAAGATTACGGTTTGCCAGAATGTAAAAGCTTTCATGTTTTCATGTCTGTTCAGAGAGTATTGAGAGAAAAGGACAGGTAGAAGAGGTGAAGATAGCAGCAGCAGAGAATGAACTCAATTTCCATTTTCATTCCCCCTATGCACAGGTAAATACTTTAGATTTTAGAGTGGTTTGTATCCTTGATTTTCTTGATATCTCCATGTTGAAAGGGAGGACCATTATGTAAACTTTCAAGTTGCTATGGCATCTTCTCTGTGTCACAGCAGCACCTGTAAATCAAAATACATAATTTTCAGAGGTGTCGAGAAGAGCTAAAGGTAATCTAAACTATATACAATTTCAACAGTGCACAGGCAATCAAAGAACATAGAAGTTGGAAATCACACCTATAGACCACTCATCACTTTCTTACTGAGTCAACATAATACTAATTCTGAACAAACAGACCACGTTTATAATTTCTTTTTGGAGCAACTTCCTGAATTACTGTAAAATCTCTTGTTTAAAACAAAGCTCTTCAGAAAGGGATTGTCCTCAAAAAAATTACTTAAATTCCACTGAGTGAAAATCAGGGTGGCCATATGGACACTTGGTTATTGTCCACATTTCATCACTGGGGGATGATTAATTGTCACTAATGGCTGGGAAATTGGCTTTGGCTCCAGACCCCAGAGATTCTCCAGGTATAGGCCAGTTCTCCTGACTACAGTCCAGACGTGGCCTCTTTTCTTTCTAAATGTCTGGCACTGGGTGAAACCGACCTTCAAATACTCTAATATTTTAAAGCGTGTCTTTGTTGCCTTTAAAAACTCACACACAAACTCACTGAGAAACAACAGGTCACCTGGCGTGTATAGCTCTCAGCCTGGATGCGGTTTGTATCCAGGATAGAAACATGAGTTTGCATTTGTCACTGTGACACTGTTATACATGGACTACTGCATCATCTTCCCCATTTATTAAAACCAAAATCTTTTAAAAGAGCAGAGTCACCTTTATGACAGCCACGGGGGTATGGGAAACCAGTGTGAATCTCCAGAAATTTGTTTTCTTCGGGTGCAGATTCTGTCAGTGTGGAAAACCTCTTGGATGCGGTACTGTGCGCCCACTATGAAAATGGAGATAGTTGCATCTGTTCAGTGGATTTAGAGATACGGAAATGCAGGTGGAAAGGAGCAAGTCCCTTCAAAACACATGTTTAAGTCTGAAAACAAAAGTGACTTTCTGCAGCCGAGCTGATGTTTCCAATGGGAACTGGAAAAAAAAAAAAAAAGATTTTTTTCCAGATTTTTAAGTCCAAGTGTGACAGGTCTGTGCAAGGATTACAAGTTCCCAAATGTCTAGGCTTTTGTTTCTTGTCAGGAATCTTTGTGGGGTTTGGTTTTTACTTCTCATTTTCCCACAGACCCATGTACTCGTAATAGAGTAATTGTGTGAGATTTGCCACATGTACGGTAGATTTTATTCAAGATCTCTTTAAATGTTCTGAAATATCAGAATACACTCCCACCAAGTCTTACTTGTATGTGCACAGTAGTTACATCATGTACTGATCCATTAAGTCCATTTTTACTAGTTCATTTACAGTATCTGAAAACTGTTCCCTCCTGCAGCAGAAGTTAAAGAACATTGCCTGCTTGTGGGAAAGACAACCCTCAGGCTGTGTGAGGATCAACTGTGCCTTCCATCACAGCAAACCTCGTTATATCAATGGACTTTTTCTGCCACCTACTAACAGTGAGTAAAAATATTTTCTCAACAGATTTTTCATTAGAATTCAGAAAATATCCTTCTACTCTTGTTCTATTGTATATTAAGGGCAAGAAACGTACCATGCCAAGACAGTCAGGCATGATCTGCTATAGCGAGATACTGAAGTCGTGGAATGCTTTGGCATTGGAATGCCAATGCTTTGGCATTGGCATAGGCTTGTTGCAGGAATTTTGCCTATCATGTTACAAATTGTCATAGCTACCAGTGGTATGAAAGATGAAGTCATGAACGGTAGCTTAGATTGCTGAGATCCACAGAGCAGGAATGATTTTTCCTTGGGTATTTGGTAGATTATATCTCTCTAGTACCGATCCTGCTCTTTTCTGCAGATGCGCTATTGCCACAGGCTGACCAAGAAGTGATTCTGCCTCCAGCCCAGTGTCAAGGCTCACACACACGTCCAGGGAATACTGTAATACCAATTCACTCTCCACTGATTATAAACCTCAACGATGAAGAGGATGATGAAGAAGATGATGAAGAGGACGATGAAGAGAACTGTAAGCAAGTTTTTTCTATCCTTTACAAGCAAGTAGAAGGTATTTTGTAAAACATTATAGTGTACTTCTCACTCAACTGATTCATTAGAATGAGCATTATTTGCATAAAAGAGTGGCTGACAAGTTGCTAAAAGAGTTTCCAGCAAATCTCCAAATTATCAGACCTGACAGTCACCAGCTGCGAGTGAGGCATCATTTTCTAATTCCTGTGAAATGCCCAGCTGTATGTTTCAACAGTGGTATAACTCACATTCCTCTTTCTCATTAACTAGACTTTAAAAAGTGATCCCCAATTCAGATAATTTGTGAATTCAACTTAAATAATCTCCTCAACTGATTTCGTCAACTCCATAGGCAGTCTCATTACAAAACATTATTCTGACGTCTAGCAAACACAATGCATACCAAGCTCTTTCCTAGCTTACCTGAATGTGTATGTTTATATACTTAGGTCCTTAGGTTTTAAAACTTATTAAATGCGGTTGAACCATTCAGTGAATCTCATTTAGAGATGGCAGATCCATAGGGAAGAGATGAACTGCACATTCCCGGTGAGTGAAAGGAGAGAACAACCTGCTCTAAGACACACACTGCAGAAGTTAAAGTACTAATAATTTTAAGTCAACACATGTTATCTTCTTACAAGGCTTGTAACTGCAATTCCCTTGCCCTTGGAAGTACCTAATGTGAAGGAATGATTTCCCTGTCCGGAAGCAGAGGTTGTAATTGGGATGGAAATAAAAAGGAAAACTAAAAGCCAAAAACTGTAACCAAGTGAAATTCATTATGTATTTGACTGTTAAGAATTGTTGAAGGTCTTTGTCTAGCTATCCCCTGATCTTTTAAAAATATTTCCCACAGATGTTACTGACTGTGTGCCTAAGACTGCTGAGGATATCGAAGAGGAAAGAGCAATAAAGGAAATATGCTATAAATCTGGTAAGTACGAAAGGAGTTGTCACGCTTTTCTGAGCAGCCATGCTGCACACACAGTAATCTTTGGGGTATTTTTCCCTCTTGATAATGTTCAGGAGAGTTTTACGGGATTCAGCAGCCTGGCCAACGGCAGTCACCTAACCCTGTGTCACCGTCCCAGGAAACTGAGCTACGGCCCTCGGAAGCTACCCAGTGGGACTTGCAGAAAGCCAAGTACTTTTCATCGCCTCGGACAATGGGTACCACTTTTGGAATTACTCTTACAAGGAGAAACTAGGACACAGTTTGCCCCTCCTCTCCACTTTTTGAACTCAGGACAGTCCTAAGGCGTTTGCAAATATCATAAAAATACTTAGTTTTTCTTCTTATTTGTGTGTATGGGTATCACACAGGTGGTGGCTACCTGCATCAGTTGTCACTGTAAAAGGTGAAAATGGGCTGCATATTAACCCCAGGAGTACTTTCCTCGGGTACACAACATCAGTTTTTTGTGTAATTGTTCTTCAAAATCACAATTTATGTACTCTAACCATTCTAATGTTAAGAACTGGTTTCAATTTCTCTAGCAGGCTCTCTCTTGTAAACAGGGACAAGAGTCCCTATTTACACTCTGATAGGGCTATTTATTGCACCGTGAGGATGCCAAAGAACGGTAAAAAACAGCTTTCTCAGAGGCATTTTGAACTCTCTGCTGAACCTCTCTGGTGTCTAGAGGATGAGATGTAGTGGTATATTTCAAGAAAAGGACAGATATGTTTCCCCAAAGCTTTTTTTCAGCCAAGTTCTCTGAGGCTTTAGGTTCTGTGATAACAGGCACCTTGAAAATGCCATCAATTTAATGAGGCAGAATTCATACGTATCATACATGAAGAGTGAATCTAAAGGAATGATTTCCCTGTCCGCAAGAAGAGGTTGTAATTGGGAAGGAAATAAAAAGGAAAACTAAGAGCCAAAAAACGTAACCAAGTGAAATTCATTATGTATTTGACTGTTAAGAATTGTTGAAGGTCTTTGTCTAGCTATCTCCTAATCTTTTAAAACTATTTCCCACAGGTGTTTCTCACTGGGTGGATAAGACTGCTGAGGATATCAAAGAGGAAAGAGCAATAAAGGAAATATGCTATAAATCTGGTAAGTACGAAAGGAGTTGTCACGCTTTTCTGAGCAGCCATGCTGCACACACAGTAAACTTAGGGGTATTTTTCCCTCTTGATAATGTTCAGGTGAGTTTTACGGGATTCAGCAGCCTGACCAACAGCAGTCACCTAACCCTGTGTCACCGTCTCAGGAAAATGAGCTACGGCTCTTTTGATTTTTCTTCACAATCTAAATTTATGTAGTGTAGTTTGAAGCATCCTAAGATTCTTTTCACTGTATAGTATTGACTGACCAATTTTGCAGTCCTAAATTATTCCACAGAATTTGGCAGATTCTTGGTTTTCTCCTTCCTACATTTAAAATGCATCTTGTTAGAATAGTTTCGATGATTTTTTTCTGGCACATGTTTATATATGTTTAGAGTACAGATGAGAGAAACAGTAAGAAATATCTGGGTTTAAGGCACATCCTTATTTTTCATAAGATACATTCTGAGGAAAGCATAGACAGATTTACCCAAAGCATTTCTTTAATTGAGTTCCCCGAGGCATTAAGTTCTGTGATGACAGGCAGCTTGAAAATACCATCAATTTGGTCAGGTAGGATTCATAACTACCATTCATGGGAAGTGGGAAGCTGAAGAACAAGCAGGTCACTTGGAGCTGGTTCTTTCCTTTGGAGCCAGTGCCTTCTTTACTCTGTGTACAACGGTATTTTCTTGGAGGGCATGAGTGTTAGGTAGTGGAGTTACTTCAGGCAGGATCCAAAGAACAGCCGAAAGAGAGAGAAGAATATAAAAAGGGAGTTGGAAGGCAACTGCACTGAACTCATGACAAGCTCCCAGAGGTGGGAGGAAGCGAATGGCAGTGCCCTTCCCAGTGCTTAAACACCAGCAGCTGAAACATTGTTTCTGGTGCTTTCACAGGTGAAAGCAATACAATTCCTGCAGAATTGAGCAACACAAGTAGAGGAGGAGGAGGGAGTACGGGAAGGAGAGTACCAAAAGCGAGTATTTCCAGAACTGGTTGCAGATCCTTTGAAAATGGAGGTAAGATACTTGAGCGTGGAGTCCTTACAGCTAAACATTACCTCATGAATGACATAACTGTCTATATTTGGATTGGGCTACCCACAATGAATACTTTCTTAATCTTGTCTTCCAGACTTCAGTCTCCTGCAGTATGTCAAATTTTCAGTAATAGCACAACAGTATGGTTTGTTTTTTCACTTTTAGAAAGCCACACTGCAGAACCTAATGCACAACCCAGTTACCAACCAAAGGGTCACTGTAAGGATGGTGAAAACGATTCTCTTCCTAATGTGAGAGAACCTGGAAGAAAGCCTCATTCCCATTCTTCAGAGCCACGAAGATCAGCGTATGTAGTCTACCGAACTGTCACAGTCACCCAAGAACCCAAGTTTAGCCGACCTAGAGGTGGGTTCCTGCTTAAATGGAAGATTCTTAAAATGCCTCTAATATACCTGCCTGTATTGTGCTGTGGTCGATTGTGTCCCTGCAGGTAGAATACGTGATTTATGCCTGAAGACAGGTAAGAGCAAATTTGATGTAGCGTAACTTTCATACCTAGATTGCAGCAGTACTCACAGACAGAAATGCAATGCTTTATAAAGCTCTGCAATTAGTCAGACAGAATATTCATCAACAGTAATTAACCACCTTCAAAGCAGGAATTCTTTTCTCTGCCCAACAGAGAGGGACGACTGCAATGATGTGCTGATATGTATGAATATACCAATCCACATTCATTAATGTGTTTTTCATTCTTTTGAAATATGTATTAAAGCTTGGAATAGCACCTTTAACTTCTCAATTAAGTATGGTGGATTTACAATTATGTTATTCAGGATTTTTTTTTCATCTTGAATAAAAAAGGATTAGATCTTACTCAAACTGCTCTTCATTCAAATGCAGTGTAAATTTTTATGATTATTGTATTTTCACTTTTTTTTTCTGTTGGACAGAGCACAATTTCATTCTTCCTGCATTCATACAGGATGATATTTTCTTTTGTCTTTGTCCTCTTGATAATATGTACTATTCTCACATTTGACAGGAGCCTACAGGTGGGATACTGAGACTTCTTTTGTTCTTCTTGGATATCTGGTTTGGATGTAACCATAACTGTATGACCTTTGCTTTATTTTTAACTTGCTAATAGAACCTCAAAAATCTAATACATCATTTGGGGTTTATATGACTTTCTCCTTTTCCTGACCGTATCTGGACTTGTGAAAATCATTCAACACTGTCCCACGCGACATCCTTGTCTCTAAACTGGAGAGACATACATTTAATGGATGGACCACCCGGTGGATAAAGAATTGGCTGGATGGCTGCACACAGAGAGTTGTGGTCAAGGGCTCAACATGCAACTGGAGACCAGTAATAAGTGGTGTCCCTCAGGGGTTGGTGTTAGGACTGATCCCTGTTCAACATCTTTGTCGGCGACATGGACAGTGTCCATGTTTGCCAACGACGCTAAGTTATGTGGTTTGGTTGATAAGCTGGAGGGAAGGGGTGCCATCCAGGGGGAGTTGTGGGCCAATGCCAACCTCATGAAGTTCAACATAGCAAAGTGCAAGGTTGCTGGGTCAGGGCAATCCCAGGCACAGCTACAGGTTGGGCAGTGAAGTGATTCAGAGCAGCCCTGCGGAGAAGGACTTTGGGGTATTAGCTGAAAATGAGCCAGAAGTGTGCGCTCGCAGTCCAGAAAGCCAACTGTATCCTGGGCTGCATCAAAAGGACCGTGACCAGCAGGTCAAAGGAGGAGATCCTGCCCCTCTACTCTGCTCTTGTGAGACCCCACTCGGAGTATTGTGTGCAGTTCTGGTGTTCTCAACATAAAAAGGACATGGGATTTTTGGAACAAGTCCAGAGGAGGGCCACAGCGATGACAAGGAGCCTTGAGCCATATGAAGACAGGCTGAAAAAAAAACTGCAGCTGTTCAGCCTGGAGAAGAGTCGGCTTCATAAAGACCTCATAGCAGCCTTCCAGTATATGAAGGGGGCTGTGGTGGTTTAAGCCCAGCCAGTTCTAAGTTGCTGGCTGGGCTTAAACCACAACTGGGGCCTACAAAGATACCAGAGAGGGACTTTTCATCAGGGATGGTAGCAATAGGACAATGTTTTTAAACTTAAAATGTTAAGGTTAGATTTAAGGAACTAGTTCTTTACTATGAGGGTCATGAGGCACTGGAACAGGTTGCCTAATTAGTGGTAAATGCTCCATTCCTGGCAGAGTTCAAGGCCAGGCTGGACAGAGCCTTGGGTGACATGGTCTAGTGTGAGGAGACCCTACCTGCGGCAGAGGGGTTGGAACTAGATGACCTTTGAGGTCCTTTCTAACTCTAACCATTCTGTGATTATATGATTCTATGTTTATATGATTTTTGTTATACCAACAATTACCATTTTTGCTACTGTTTTTTGGTTTTTTTTCAGCAGTTCCCGAGCCATCTGTTCGGAAATGCTCCAAAGGAAAGAATGAGCCTGCCAAAAATAGGAAATTTTGGACACAAACGGACATCTACGGTAATACTGCAGCGTTGGGTGTAAACTGAAAATTTCAGTTTTAGTACGGAATTAATAATGTGAATTAATGCGATTAGTCTGGAACTAAGAGAAAACAAGGGTACTTACACATAACGTTGCCTTGCATCTAAGTACATTCACAAGCAGGGATAAAACAGGAGGACCGGATTATGCATTAGTTTCCTCTAAAAGCAGCTGATGCCTTCTGGAAGATTTTCAGTATAGGAACATGCACTTGGTTAAAGTCCAGAATGACCGTGGCAGAGTTGCCTCGCTTGGGAGGTCCTGTGAGCCTTATGGAAAGCCTGAAAGATTACAAAAAAAAATCTTTGAAGAGAGAACTAGAGAGAGAGAGAATCTGTACTTAATCCTAGCTTCTGTTTCAGAGGTGCTGCAGGACTCACCCGATGCACTCATGGGTACTTCAGCTAAAGTAATATTTGTAATAATGTAATATCTGATTCACCTGTCAGGCTAAGAGAGTCTTCCCAGAAAGTACATCTCAAGTGAGGAAACCATGTCTATGCTCTTCCTACAGACAAATACACTTCAGGATCCTATAATGCACCAACCTGGGGGAAAAGAAATCCACAGGCAAAAACATTCTCCAAGACTAAAACAACCATTCAGGTAACTGCTCGATAGAGATTTTGACCGCCTGGTCTCTCCCCACCTAGAAACCAAAATTCCAAAGTAACAACTTCCCCAACCAAATCCCAAAAGGTCCTACGCAATGCTGAGCAGTCTGGAAGAGCAGTTAAGAGTTGTGTTGATGTGCAGACCTGAAATTTGGCCTGTAGAACTAAGTGATTCCTAATTTTGTATAGTTTTACTGAAAGAGTGTATAATTTTACTGTATGAAATTATGCACAAAACCGTGTTCTGCGTATCTATTTTAACAACAGAGCCAAGAACACATGGAAGCGACCCAAAAAGGAAACCGATATGAAGACAGAAGGGAGATGAAACGAGTACTTGAATTCACAAGAACAGTCTAAACTGAAATAAGGGAATTCTCAACTGTAGTTCAAACGATCATAAAATTGTAAATTTCAAAAGTAAGATGTAGGGTACTCTCTGTAGTGTTTCAATACATTAGAAATTGTGGAAATTGTTTAACAATAATTTCACTATAATCCTAAATGTACGATACATTTACCTAATAAAAGTGAAGACGTATCATATTTTATTTTCATTATTTCCCTTGCTTGTATCAAGACTGTAATCACTTAATATAAATTACACTGAACTTTGACCACATTGAATTGACAAGCACAGTATTACACCTTCTTCAGCCTCATCCTTCAGCCTCAAAGCTCTTTGCAGAGAACTTGGCACCTCAAACCAACAAAACTTCTTCCTCTGTTATGCTATTAAAAGCAGGCCAGTGCAATGCGAGATGGCAAAGGCATCCTGGTGTTAAATACTTCCTATCTTAAAAACCAGGTCTGTCACCATTAATCTTAAAATGCAGCATCCATGAAGATTTCATGAAAAGGGAAATTTTCAGAGGACAGAGAAAACGGATTGATTTTCCAGAAACCTCCCTGCTTCTACCCTAGCAGTCACAGCCCTCTCTGGTATCCTTGCCTGTACTTTGTAAAGAAAACCCAGCATGTGCCAGTTTGAGATCTAATCCCCATCAGGTTCTTCTGTATAAAGAAACAACAACTGAGGAAGTACCACAGTTTAACCCCAGCCGGCAACTAAGCCCCACACAGCAGTTTGCTAACTCACTCATTCCCTCCTCCCTGGTGACTTGTAAGAAAGAAGCAGAAGGGCAACAGTGAGAAGACTCCTGTGTTCACATCAAAACAATTCAAAGGGGAATGCAAAGCTGCACACACAAGCAAAGCAAGGACATCACTCACCACTTCCCAGCAGCAGGCAGGTGTTCAGACATCTGCGGTGCTGGCTTCCCATGGGGTCACAACCTCCTTTGGGTATCCCCTGCTCCAGAGCGGGGTCCTTCATGGGCTGCAGGGGGACAGCCTGCCTCACCATGGTCTTCACCACAGTCTTCACATGGACTGCAAGGGAATCTCTGCTCCAGCAACTACTTCTTCACGGCAATTGGGGTCTGCAGATTTGCTGCACTCACAGATTCTCACCCCTCTCTTCAGGTGCATCACTGCAGGTTTTTGGTTGTTTTTTTTTCTCCTTTCTTAAACATGTTATCCCAGAGGCCCTGCCACTGTTGCTGGTATCTCCAAGTCACTGATGTCACTCACTGCTGAGGAATTGAGCCTATGTCAAATCTACAGCTTCATCTACCCCTCTAAATATTTGTTGTGGTTTAAGCCCAGCCGTAAATCAGACCATGCAGTCTCTGTCTCACTTCCCCCCTTCTCCCCTGACCCTGCTCCAGAAGGGACGGGGAGGAGAATCAAAAGAATGTAACTCCCACGGGCTGAGATAGGAGCAGTCCAGTAACTAAGGTATAACACAAACCACTACTGCTACCACCAATAATAATAATAATGACAAGGGAAATAAAGGAACAGAACACAACTGCCCACCACCCGCCGACCGATACCCAGCCCGACCCGAGCAGTGATCTAGACCTTCCGGGTAACTGCCCCCAGTTTTACAAACTGGGCATGACGTGCTGTGGTATGGAATACCTCTTTGGCTAGCTTGGGTCAGGTGTTCTGTCTCTGCTTCCTCCCAGCTTCCCTCCTCCCTGGCAGAGCATGAGACTCAGAAAGCCCTTGGTCAGACTAAACACTACTTAGCAAGAACTAAAAGCACTGGTGTTATCAGCGCTGCTCCCAGGCCGAAAGTCAAAACCACAGCACTGCACCAGCTACTAAGAAGGAGAAAAATGACTGCTACTGCTGAACACAGGACTATATATTTTGTTCAGAGGCAGCCTGGGGCCTGAATGGGATCAGAGCTGCTTGTTAGGGACATAAGCATCCACTGCTCTTTCTGCTGTAGCAGTAGACATCATGGAAGCAAGAAAAAACAATGAACCCCAGCAGTGTAAGCAGTTAACACACAGCACCTAAGAGCAGGAATCAGGTAATTTCTCAATTCACTAAAAGGAGTGAAGTAAGAAACGTGGAGCACAAGGACTTGCGTTAAAAGACGCTCAAAGAATAATGTTCATCTTTGTGCTCTCAAGACAACAGGTTCTACACAGGAAGAAGTTGGGTCTTATTTAAGCACCACAAGATGGGTTTGTTCCATTTTACATTAAAGAAACATGGGACGGGAGAATGGAAGACTCTTTGAGATCGTGTGATTTTCAATACTTTGATGAAACGAGATAAAGAAAGATGTTCAAGCTGGACAGGCCACACGGAACCATTATGATGATGTCAACAGCTAGACAAGCCATTGGCAGCCATGGCAATGGAACATTCTATACTGCCTAGCAACTGGTAGAGAATGTGAACTCAAAAAGACTAAAGAAGCTACCATCTCCTTCGCACAAGTGAGAGTAGGGAAGCACAAGACGTGCAAATGGCCACAGGTGGAAATGACTGCAATATCTATATGACAATGGTTTTGAAATTAGACCAGATAGTCTCAACCTGGATTTGATTATCACAGGTCCCTCTTCACAAAATAAACCTAATGCTCTTTTCTGCAGATGCGCCATTGCCACAGGCTGACCAAGAAGTGATTCTGCCTCCAGCCCAGTGTCAAGGCTCACTCACACGTCCAGAGAATACTGTAATACCAATTCACCCTCCACTGATTATAAACCTCAACGATGAAGAGGATGATGAAGATGATGATGAAGAGGATGATGAAGAGAACTGTAAGCAAGTTTTTTCTATCCTTTACAAGCAAGTAGAAGGTATTTTGTAAAACATTATAGTGTACTTCTCACTCAACTGATTCATTAGAATAAGCACTATTTGCATAAAAGAGTGGTTGACAAGTTGCTAAAAGAGTTTCCAGCAAATCTCCAAATTATCAGACCTGACAGTCACCAGCTGCGAGTGAGGCACCATTTTCTAACTCCTGTGAAATGCCCAGCTGTATGTTTCAACAGTGGTATAACTCACATTCCTCTTTCTCATTAACTAGACTTTAAAGGGTGATCCCCAATTCAGATAATATGATCCACAATTCAGATGGCCATCGAATACTCTTCACAAGTCCTCATAATTCAGGGATGACGTTACAGGCTTAGGAGGTACTTCTTTTCCTGGAAACCAGCTTTCGAACACGGGCTGTACTCACTCATCAGTGAAGCTGATGGAAGTCACAGCTTTGTTTACAAAAGACAATTGTGTGAATTCAACTTATATAATCTGTTGTACCGATTTTCTCAACTCCGTAAGCAGTCTCATCACAGAACATTATTCTGAAATCTAGCAGACAAAATGCATACCAAGCTCTTTCCTAGTTTACCTGAATGTGTATGTTTATATACTTAGGTCCTTATGTTTTAAAAGTTTTTAAGTGTGGTTGAACCATTCAGTGAATTTCATTTAGAGATGGGAGATCCATAGGGAAGAGATGAACTGCACATTCCCGGTGAGTGAAAGGAGAGAACAACCTGCTCTAAGGCGCACACTGCACAAATTAAAATACTAATAATTTTAAGTCAACACATGTTATCTTCTTACAAGGCTTGTAACTGCAATTCCCTTGCCCTTGGAAGTACCTAATGTGAAGGAATGATTTCCCTGTCCGGAAGCAGAGGTTGTAATTGGGATGGAAATAAAAAGGAAAACTAAACGCCAAAAACTGTAACCAAGTGAAATTCATTATGTATTTGACTGTTAAGAATTGTTGAAGGTCTTTGTCTAGCTATCCCCTGATCTTTTAAAAATATTTCCCACAGATGTTACTGACTGTGTGCCTAAGACTGCTGAGGATATCGAAGAGGAAAGAGCAATAAAGGAAATATGCTATAAATCTGGTAAGTACGAAAGGAGTTGTCACGCTTTTCTGAGCAGCCATGCTGCACACACAGTAATCTTTGGGATATTTTTCCCTCTTGATAATGTTCAGGAGAGTTTTACGGGATTCAGCAGCCTGGCCAACGGCAGTCACCTAACCCTGTGTCACCGTCCCAGGAAACTGAGCTACGGCCCTCGGAAGCTACCCAGTGGGACTTGCAGAAAGCCAAGTACTTTTCATCGCCTCGGACAATGGGTACCACTTTTGAAATTACTCTTACAAGGAGAAACTAGGACACAGTTTGCCCCTCCTCTCCACTTTTTGAACTCAGGGACAGTCCTAAGGCGTTTGCAAATATCATAAAAATACTTAAGTTTTTCTTCTTATTTGTGTGCATGGGTATCACACAGGTGGTGGCTACCTGCATCAATTGTCACTGGAAAAGATGAAAATGGGCTCAATATTAATGCCAGGAGTACTTTCCTCGGGTACAAAACATCAGTTTTAGTCTGGAACTAAGAGAAAACAAGGGTACTTAAACATAACATTGCCTTGCACCTAAGTGCGTTCACAAGCAGGGATAAAACAGGAGGACAGAATTATGGATTAGTTTCTTCTAAAAGCAGTTGATGCCTTTGGGAAAATTTTCATGACAGGAACATGCACTTAGTTAAAGTCCAGGACAACCATGGCAGAATCGCATGAGTCACCTGATGCATTTGTGGATGCTTCAGCTAACGCAGTATTTGTAATAATGTAATATCTGATTCACCTGTCAGGCTAAGAGAGTCTTCCCAGAAAGTACATCTCAAGTGAGGAAACCATGTCTATGCTCTTCCTACAGACAAATACACTTCAGGATCCTATAATGCACCAACTCCAAGGAAGAGAAATCCACAGGCACAAACATTCTCCAAGACTAAAACAACCATTCAGGTAACTGCTTGATAAGAGATTTTGACCGCCTGGTCTCTCCCCACCTAGAAACCAGAATTTCATAGTAACAACTCCCCCAACCAAATCCCAAAAAGACCCTATGCAATGCTGAGCAGTCTGAAAGAACAGTTAGGAGTTGTATGGATTTGCAGACAATAATTCCTAATTTTGTACAGTGTTACTGATCTGAAGGCAAAAGTTGTACTTGCCTTTACAATGAGGAGCTACAGGAGGGGGTTTGGCTTGTAGCACTAGACAAAGCTCAGCAGAGACACTGCATGAGCGTGGTCTATTTGTCTCTCTTTGTCTGCTTATGTAGCATCTCCAAAAGCCAAACACTCATCAGCCACGGTCCTAATTCATGAAAGGAATCACTCTAGTAAACATTCACAGAATGCCCTGAGGGCCTAAAATTAATAGATTTTACAGCTGAGCAGAAAGCAGAGATGACAACTTGACCTTGCCTCTTGTGTCGACGGTTTACTGCTTAAACTGCTTCTGAAAGAGCGTATAGTTTTGCCATAGGAAATTATGCACAAGGTGTTCTGTGTTTGTATTTTGACAACAGCACCGAAAAGACACGGAAGTGAACCACAAACGAGAAGGGTATGAAGACAGGAGGGAGATGAAGAAAGTACCTGAATTCACAAGAACAACCTAAATTGCAGAAAGATAGGGGAATTCTCAAGAGGAGAAACCAAACACGATAAGAATGCAAATTCCAAAATAACACGTAGGAAGTACACTGTAACACTTCAAAAGTGATTAAATTTTAATCCTTCATCATGGCTATGCTACTGCCTTGTTCTCATGCAGATTCTTATTCCTGACAACTGGACTCTATCAGCCCAGCCCTATCCATCCTATTCCTGATTTCTAATCCTATCTACGTACTCCAGTGTTTCCCGAAGACGTGCCAGCTTGGAAATTGCTCTAAGACAAAAGAAGAAAGACAATCTCCTTGCGAACTCTTTCTGCCTTTCCCATTATTGGTTAGAGATAATTTTGCCTTTGTATGCAGTTCAAGTAGTGCATATACACTAGAAGGGTTTCCAGTCTAGCACTGCAATATTTGGAGACGTGCCTTCCTTTATGACAATGGGCAACGGAAATTCAACCCAGTGAGCTGCTCTGAGCCCTCAGTTTGGAGCTGAAAGGCAATAGCACCATTTTATTCCAAGCAATACCCAGGCCAGTCCAGTGAACTATGGCAAAAGCATCCTGCTGTTAAATACTTTCTGTTTTAGGAACTGCGTTTGTAGCCATAAGCATAAAATACAGAATCTTTGAACATGCATGGGCCAGTTTGAGATCTAATCCCGTGTCAGATTCTTCTTGATGAAGGAACACCAACTGAGGAATTGCCCCAGCAGGCAACTAAGCCCCACACAGCAGTTTGCTCGCTCGCTCGCTCACTCACTCACTCCCCGCCCCATTGACGTGTGGGAGAAAATCAGGACAACTGAGAGAAAACTCCTCGGTTCACATGAAAACAGTTTAATAGGTAAAGTAAAAGCCACACACACAAGCAAAGCAAAGCAAAACAAGGACCTCACTCACCACTTCCCATCAGCAGGCAGGTGTCAGACATCTCCAGAGAAAGTAGTCATCACCACGCCAAACGTTTCCCCCCCCCTTACTTCTTGTTTTCCCAGTCTGTCCGTAGACTACCTTTTCCAGATCGGGAAGTCAGAATACTGGTTGGGTCCCTTGAAAGTTTCCCAGTACCATTATCCTGGAGTGACCCGTTCCTTGCCGTGACCGTTCCCGACACTTAGAAAAAGCAAACGCAACACCTGCGTGAGGACCCGGATGCGCCACCATCCCTTTCGCCAGAGACCTGCAGCCGAACTCCTCGCCACCTCCGTCTCGAACAAACACGGCACCTTCCGCTGCACCGCACCCCCACACCTCACAACCCCCGTTGCCAGCTCTGCGCCGAGCACACACTGCGACTGCGCCTGCGCCGAGCACACACACACACACACACACACACACTGCGACTGCGCCTGCGCCGAGCACACACACACTGCGACTGCGCCTGCGCCTGCGCCTGCGCCGAGCACACACACTGCGACTGCGCCGAGCACACACACACTGCGACTGCGCCTGCGCTGAGCACACACACACTGCGACTGCGCCTGCGCCGAGCACACACACACTGCGACTGCGCCTGCGCCGAGCACGCACACTGCGACTGCGCCTGCGCCTGCGCCGAGCACACACACTGCGACTGCGCCTGCGCCGAGCACACACACACTGCGACTGCGCCTGCGCCGCCCCCGCGGGGCGCCACGGGAAGTGGAGCCCGTTACTGCCCCCCCCGCCAAGCTCTGCGGCACGGCCGTGGGCGCGGTGGGTGAGCTGGGCTGCCCGTGTCCAGCAGCCCGCAGCCTCGGGTCGGTTCCGCCGCCCCGCCCCGCCCCGCCCCGCCCGGCCCGGCTGCGGGCCTGGGGCAGCTCCGCTCTCCCCAGTGGCAGCTGCCGCCGGGCCAGGGCCGGCCCGGGAGCCACAGCTGTGCTCGGAGATGGGTCCCGGCGGCCGCGAGGCCGAGGCCGGCCTGAGGCCCCAAGCTGTGGGGACCTCTCCCTCAGGACAGCCGCCTGCTGTCCTTACCCAGGCTCTGCCTCGGCGTACAACCCTTGAGTCTCTGCCGCTTGACTGTGCCTGGACGCCAGGCACTCGCTCACCAAAGCTGCTTTGCCGCTGTGCTCTTTAGCTGCACGGAGGGGAGAACATACAACGAAAGGCTCGTCGGTCGACACAAGGACACGGACAGAGATCGCTCACCCTTTTCTCTCAGTTTATTGCCAATCGCAGCCGAGCAGGGGCATGAAAAAATAAAAGTCAAATTTCTCAACACCACCTCCTCACCAGTCCCTTCTCCCCTGTTGTCATTGGCCCTGTTGGACACATGGGAAGCTTCCAGCAGCTGCTCCCTGTAGCCC